TGTTGTTTCGTTGGAATCCTGATGTGCGGCAAAGTATAAACCGTACGACAAAGTATAAACCGTACGGCAAAGTATAAATATGCAGCAATTAGCAGCTTTCTGTACTATAAACAGTACAAGGAAGCCAACGTTGTCGGGTGACTGTAGGAAAACTCTATTTTATTTTCCCTCTCTCTAAATTTACTTCCCCTTGGTCTCGATTAGTTCACCATATACCAACTACGCACAGTAGTGTTTTGTTAGGTTTATTTTAATGACTTAAATCAGCTGTTTTAATTGTTGCACAATCTAAATTTATACAAATTAAACAGACATTAGTTTGTTTTGCCGTGTTATTAGCATAGTACGTGTTATAAATTGCTCAAAATATGTTTAACATTTTTGATGATTTGTCAAAAAAAGTTTCAGAGATAACCAAAAACATTCCACCATAGAAATCACGGGAATGATATGAAGAGGAATACAGAAAGTTTACGAACGGATATAAATTACAAAATCTAAAGCGAAATAAAGTAAGTAACGTAGAATTCATTAATATATTTATCTAAAAATATATAATCATGAAACCTTATATATTGGGAAATAAATTTTCAATGAAAAAGAGTGGTCTAATACTATTTTAAATTACTGAGGTCTGCATGTGCGTACAGTATTGATGAAAATCGTTCATAACTCGTACCGAAAGTTATTTTCCGGCACTTTCTTCATTATTCCCGTCCTCGGCTCCCACATGCTCGGCTTTACCTCTCACGTGAAATTTGGTTATCCTTTGTTTGGCTTTGCCTCGCCACATATACAACTTGAGCGCGCACCGGAAAATGCCACTTTCGGTACTTCTAAATGTTTGTGTTTGTATGACGTCTATATTCTGAGAAATTTGTGCTAGATAAAGTTTTGCCATCGTATTGATGATTGCATTAAGTTCTCTAGCAAAAGTATTATTTTATAAAATGTAAAAATATTTTATAAAATTCTGGTGGTTTGCATGCCGTCTTGGGAGACGTGTCTGGATGTGTGTGAATGTCTTATGAAGTAAACAGTGTACAGTTGGTCTCCGACAGTGCTTGGCTATTTACTGAAGTTCTACTGAGACCTGAATGTAAGCTTCACTGCTGCTTCATACTGACTTACTTTTCAGTGGGGTCATAGTATTAACATACATATATTTAAAACATTATTTTGTAAAAAAGGTTTATAGAAATACCATTGAACATGATAAAAACCCACGGAGATAAAAATTCTTGTAACATACAAAATTTGGCATTTCCTATACTGTTCTAGTGCAAAATAGTACTGCTGTTATTGTAATAAAAGCAAAACCCATTTTCATATTATTGAGCGGAGTGAAGCTCTTATACTACACTCCTGCTTTTGTTTTACAAATACTCCTCCTAAACGGCTGAAGCGATCTGCACCAAATTTAGCACAATCATAGTAACCAACCATGGGAATGTATAAATCTGAAATGGAACAAATCGTACCACAGGGCTTTTCCCTACGTGAGTTTAAATTTTTGGAAATTTAACATGGGCCTTATGGGTTAATTGGTTGCCATGGCATTATTTGCGAGATAATAAAAAGGTAAACAAGAGTCGCAACATATGTTATTAGTCAACGAATCATCTAAATAGTACCATTGACTATTGGATACAGAAGATAGTACATTATAAATACCGTACAGAGAAAAAGGGAAGAACGATCGGATAAATATCATTGAGCGTAATTTATTACAAAAAGAATAACCAATAAATAATTAGTGTCACTGGAATAAGGCTGATGCACCATTAACTTAATCCAAATAGCCATTCCATTTACATGAACCAAATATATAGGCCTACAATTGAGTTTGTATACTGCAAGTAGACATTTCATTGATGTGAACCAGATGTACCTTTGACTTATAACAGTGGATATAGCAGTTAGGCACTTCATTTATGTGAATAAAATGAACCATTGCTTTGGATCCTTCAAGTAGACAATTCATTTACGTGAACCAAAATGCCATTGAGTTTGGATACTGCAAATATACATTCCATTTAAGTAAACCTGAAGTAAGCGTATTGGCTTTGGATACTGCAAACAGGCATCTTATTTGTGTGAACCAAATGGACCATTGACTTTGGATACTAAAAGTAGATTTCTTATTTATGTGAAGCAGGTGTATCATTGATTTATGATACTGGAAGAAAACAATTTACGTGAACCAAATGTACTATTAAGTTTAGATACTGCAAGTACACAATTCGTTTACGTGAACCAGACGTACCATTGACTTTGGATGCTGCAAATAGGTATTTTATTTATGCGAACCATTGACATATGGATACTGCAAGTAGACATTAAATATATGAGAACCAGATGAAACATAGAGTTTGGTTCCTGTAAGTAGACAATTCATTTACGTGAACCAGACCTATAATTGACTTTGAATACTGCAAATGGTCATTCCATTTATGGAAATTATGGAAAATAAATGGAAAATTTATGGAAAATCCATTATTTATGTAAAACAAATAGATTATTGACATTTTATACTGCAAGTATTTAATCTCACTTACGAGAAACAGATGTACCGTTGACTTTAGAAAATAATTGGATTAATATGCTAGCTCCGCTCAATAATGCAAGCAGACAACTGCATTGTACACCTAGTCTAACGTAGTTTTGTTCTGGGATATTTAAATATAAAATAATTTTTATTGATGTTTTCAAAATACCTGCACATTGCAACGTCAATGAAATTAGTTCCATAGATAAAACAGCCACTAAAAGTTTAAAAACTTTGTCGTAGAAAAAATAAATCTTATAAGATATCTTATGGATTATTTTGGATTTTTTAAAGGTATACACGCAAGAAGAAAATGAAAAATAGTGTATGACAGTGAGGATCTGTTCTGACTTGATTGAAACATATTATGAATCATTCTTGACAAAGAATTCTTAACGTATTGGTTATCATGAGAAACAATTGCCGCAATATCAGTTATGATAACACATAGTTTACTCAATTACCTGTACTTATTTCTTTCACTCAATAATAAACGTCAAGAACTATTTTTCTGAGTCGTGAGTTTAGAGGATTTCTTCCAGCCCCCTGCTGAGAAACTACTAAAAAACCTAATAAATACCTTTTGTGTGATATTTTAAAACTTAAAAATAAATAATTTCTTTGTTGAAGCGTTGTTATGTGCCTGATAGTAAAGATGTAAATTCCATAAAGTAAGAAGTAAACTGTTGTAGTTTGCTTGTTCAAGGATGTATTGTGATCACATTTGGAAAATGTATTTTTCCTACAGTCATCCGACCAAGTGGGCTTCCTTTCACAGGTTATAGTACAGAAAGCCTTACTTTGGGACACAGTTTTTAGTTTGGCACGCAGTTTTTACTTTGGCGCACACCAGTATTCCAACAGAACAACACGAAACAGCGTGCTTTTATTATGCACGTAGGCCTAATCCGTGATCGCTTGAAAATAGGTTGGCAACACTTAAATATAATACGACTAAGATCAGCTGGTGCAGCGTTTCCCATTTCGTTCAACGTTTGGTTTTAACCTAACCTAAAAACGTGTTGTATAATGTTTGAAAGACTAATTATTTATATGATTTATAATAACTGTAGGAAAAATTTTAATGTGTATCACGAGTGAAAGTTCGTCTACTATTTACACAAATAACTATATTTTACACTAAACTATTAATCTTTCACAAAAAAAGTTGTTTACTTCCCTGTTCATCAATCCTAAGTACTCGTTTAACTAAGGCTATTGAAATTGGAAATAAATTTGATGATTAAAGAAGATATTTTGGTGTAAATCCAATCAGGCAAACGGAAATTAGCTTGGTCTGTAGGCTTGCTGCGGTGGGGGTTAATACATTAATTAATATTAATCTGACTCATAATTATTATTTTTATTTTACCTGTGAAGCTTTTTACGAGACATTTAATTTAAAGGAAAATAACTCACTCGTACGGAAAAGTTGTCTAAGCAACTTGTTCTTACAGTGAATCGAAAACTAAATAAAAGCTGGATACAAACCATTCACAAAGTATTTTATTAAAAAAATACGATTATATAACTGATTAATTGGTACAAAATTAAAATGTTTTAGTGAACACACATTTTTCTACCGGTTTCATATTTCAAACAAAGCATGCAATCCAATATTCTTGTATCGACGGTTTGTATCAATACATTTGGTCTTGCACAATAATTAAAAAGACTTTATGATATTTTGCATTTACATAATTAATTGATCTTCTTTTTTAAATCTAATATTACCAACCAAAGTATGCATTAAATATGTAAAATGGCTATGTAATGTCACACATTCTTTTGTGTTTTTGACTGAATTTTTAATGAAATGAAATCAACGAGAATACAGGAAAATGTCCACTTGTATGTAATAGACAATTTTGTCTGTTACAATGTTTGTCTGCTTGTCTTCGCATTTTAGCATCCTAGTACTGTCTTAATTAGGTATGTTATTGTTCAACAAAATGAACATCATGCACTTTTCTATATTGTTCTAGAAGAACATACTAGAGTATTGAATGCATTAGTAAATTATTTTAGTTTTAAAAGTTCAACTACACAATCTTGCATCTAGTCAATGTAATTGACCAAAACACTTCACAGGGAATAAAAAAATTGAATGAAAATGAATGATTTTATACATATAAAATAGGTAATTTAATAATTTATTTCTTAGACAAGGTTAATATTTTATACCAAAGTTTTGAAATTTAATCTGTCAACATCTTTGATATAATTAGAAAGATATATTTTTACAGTGATATTAATTATGTAATTTAGTAGCCCGCTACAACGAAATCATTTTCAATGTACTACATTATACTTGTCAATTGTTTTGATAGAAAATTTTTTTTTTGTTCAATCAAATGTACTGTTTTGAAAGACAAGTTTTATTCAGGACAAAAATGGATTAAGTAAACACACTTTATCAATAAAATAGTGTACTCATAAATAAAACTGTACATTTTCTTTTAATGCATGTATTCATACCATTACTATACATTTAATAAAACATTTACTAAATGTAAGTCAATTAATGCTAATAACCATACAGACATCTGAAACGATTCTACATTTGACTTTAAATAGTTCGTAAGCTCAGATTTTAAACAGGAAGATTTGACACCTTAGAATAAATAACGCTTGTTTATTAAAATTATTTTTAAATCAAAATATGTACAAACGTTAAAAATGGTATTCAAATGCTTATATTGTTTACATAAAATACATTAAAAATACATTAAAAAAAGATAACCCAGAATACATTGAATAATAATCTAAGTAATTTATAACTTTGTAACGTGTTACAGTTACTAACTAATTACAGGTATTTTCAACTAATTTCACTCTCCAGCAACACTTAGAAACTAATATTCATCACACTCTTTTAAATGCCTTAAAATCACCCAGTTGCTCATTAAAATGTTAATTGAGATGTTGTTGTAGATCGAATCAAAATAAATAATTTATATTTAGAGGTTTGATTATACGAGAAAGCATCATGCTTACGACACGTATAAGTTTTAAGAAGTTTCATAAGTCTACTTTTCAGAATACTTAGACATTTGCGCCTTTAGCGACTGCGTTTCATTGGTGTAAAACAGTTTTGAGGGAGAAATTTAATTACATTGTTTTACTGTAAAGTAGAAGTGGGTTTTACTCTCTCCATCTCTACATAGTACATATGGAGAAAGTATTGTTTTCGTTAACATTTTCGAGAATGGTGTTCATTATTAAAATTGTTCTCTGTCTTCGGCCCCTGTCTGATAAATTAGTTTAATTGTTCGTTTCCACACATTCATGTTCAACTTACTAGTAAACATTTTCCCAAAACGAATTTTAAACGAATAAAACAAATGTTAACCGTCATTTTCAGCTAATGTAAAACATGTATTGCTTCGTAATTTTTCGGCTCAAATTCAAGCAATTTTAATACAATGCAAGACTAAATTACTTACGTAATCCCGTCTCAGCTCATCAAAATATGTAAATTTATGACATTTTTCTTATGGACAAGGATTTTGATTTTAACACCTTTTGACTTATTTGGGGAAAAAGGTATACTCAGTAAATTTTAATGTAGTAAATGACAACATATTTATGAACATATTCAATTGAAACATTTTTCTAATCTTAACAAGAAAAAAATGTACAAGAAAAAAAATAAAAGTTAAAACAGCAACAATTTTGGAAACTCAATTCGCTACAGGAAACCTATGTACAAAGTGTCGAGAGAAGAGCGGGAGACAAAGGCATCGATGTTACTCATAGTCATAGAGATCAAGGGCGTCGGGTTCGAGCTTGCGATGAGCCATGAGTACATTAGCTGGTCGCTCAGAGAGATAGGACCAGAGGGCCCGGCGAGGAAGTGGCTCTCCAGACAGTTCCAGGTTGACGGGAACCGGGATATACTCTGGGTCTGGACCCTCCTCCTCCTTCCTGGAATAGACAGTATCGGTTGGAAATGTGGAATATAGGGAAGCATATGTAATACGGAGGGGCTTTCCCATAAATATGCAACTATGAAGACTGTAAATAGGAAAGTACGAAGACTATCAAAAAAATTAAGTCTCCATCAAGCTTCCGGCCAAGTAAGCCAACTCTAACATCAGAGTCATGATTTTCATTTTGTTCAATACTGTTCACTACTTTTCTGTCTTATTCACTACTGTTCTTTTCCCTATGGAACAAGTCATGCCATAGTAGAAAAATATGCCAGGAAAAATCGAAGCCTAATTAATGGTCAACCCTTCTAAAGTAGGCATAAAAGAACTTTTTTTAAAGAAGTAGTGTTTTACTGGCATTGTTTTCTTAGAGAATTTAGGAGCTGGCAATACTTTTCGGAAAACATTGGTACTGTATTGAATTTTTCCCTGGAATAAGCTAAAGCAAGTAATTATCTTGTAGTTTTAATCGATTTTGCACCATCACTTTATAGGTGTTTGTGTTTTAATGTCTTTTACTTGACTCTTAAGTGGATGACAACAGAACATTTGTCGTTGAATGTTGACGATGTAACTAGCTATTCTATTTAATTATAACTATCATTTAATAAGCATGAATTATGAAGCATGACTATTATTGGAAATTGCATGAATAATTACAGATATCGAGGCATTCATACCAAACAAATTGTATGGGAAAAACTTATCGTAATCTGCATCAGTCTGCAATTTTTGTGCAAAGATACTTTCTGAAACACTTTTGGTGGACAATATTTAAAGCTAAATAGCTGGAAAGTATGCAAACACACTTAAAATATCTTCTTTTTGGAATAATCTATGTGTAGGTTGTTAAATTAATATTTTATTCTCTATTTTTGTGTATGTTTTACTCGTTTCTTCTGTGCGCTGAAAACAGTGTTCAATTTGTCAAATTGAAATAAATAAGTAGGTCTATTACAAAATTCACATTTAAAAAACACTCAAACGGCAGGAAACGTTATATAAATACATATAATGTAAATACATACATACTAATGATAATAATAATACTAATGTTATATAATTACTTGATTTTATTCAATCTCCGTTTGAATTACCAATCAACAAATTTAGGTCAATAAAAGATGATATGCAACCCAGCAGACCCACAGGCAGAGTTCGTCTATGTCTGCTGATTCCACAAGACCAATTAATTATAACTAGCTACAACATTATAAGTTTATTTTGTTCGTTTTGCTAGTTTTTGTATAATTCAACATTAAGTTCACAACTTTATTAATTTTTTCTGTTCTTGATTATTTTATGTTGTAAACTTAACATTATAGTAAAAAATGTAATCATTGTACTTTATAGCAAATTAAACGGAATAAATAATTCATTCACAACATGTGTGTTTAAGTAATTTTACCTACGACCGTTTACTAGCCATTCAGTTTAGTTCTTAGAATGGAAAAGATTCACTTTACAGCATTGTTTACTTACTTTACAGCATTTTTTCGGACCAATGAATACCAATCAGTTACGGACCAATGAGATTCAAGGATTGAGAGAAAATAAGTACACTTGTAATGCTGAAAATCTTGAACTCATCAGCTGTTTAGACCAATTTAATAGTTAATGAGTGAGTGGTGCAATTAGTGTTTGGTACAATAAGTCGTTGCGTCACTGTCAGTGGCAATGAGAGGTTATAAACGAAAGCATTAACCCTTTAAGCTTTAAGCTCTGTTAGATGTTATGAGTAGTGATTGTTAGTAATTAAAAAAACGACCGCAGGTAAAGTAGTGTACGCAACTCGAGTAATAGTGCTAACGGCACTCTTAGAAGTTTTTAAGGCTTTCGCTAAGGCTCGCACTGTACCTTAAATTTCTACTCGTGTCGTCAACACTATCTTTACGAGATCGTTGCTTAAGCTTCTATAAATTAGTGTAAATTTACACTACGCTAATTTTTATTGTGCTTATATGTATATATCGTTATTAGCATTTTCAATTGGGATAGGGATGTCAACTAGGTGCGTATTTAAACCCAAATTCACCTTGTAACGACAAAATGTCAATTAAGTTCAAACACTACAGCTAGCCCTGGATGATTGAAGATGACTAAATCACATTGCTTGCGCTCTTGACCTTGTCTAGGCACAGGTTGAGATTGGTTTCCAGAGAGGTAAATCATCACAAAATTAATTGCAAATTTAAGGAATAATTGTAGTTGTAAGTTTGTTTATCTTACTTCAATTATTAATTGTTCCTGTTGCCGTAAAAAGTTGTTGTCTACAGTTCTGAAAAGAAAGTGGAATTTTTCACTAGAGTTAGTTTAAAAAAACAGCTCAAAATTTAACTTTGTTTACTTTTTGCAATTTGTTTAGTTTTTATTCTAAGTAAAGAACAGTAGTGGTCTAAGCAAAATTGTAGCTTTGACCACTACTTATCCTCATTTCAGATGGTCACAGAACAAAACAAAATGTATGCTGTGTTTATTTAATTGGATAGTAATCAACAGGAAATGACCCTTATAAAGATTAAACTGATTCTTACACGTGATATGGTGTAAATATACATAAAAAGAACGTTATTTCAATAAGATTAAATACACCATGTAAACGGAGATTATTTTTCTTTTTCATTTGCTGAATTTTGAGGTAAGCGATGGTTTTATTATGCTGTTGCTTCAATAAGTTAAATCAGCTCAGCCACAAAATATCCTAACCTCAATATTATAATTACATTTGTTGAACACGTAATATTTTTTGTCGCATACCGGAAACTGTAGACAAATTATAACATGCAACTTGTGTTTAAACTGTCTTTTTACTCGATACAAATGACTCGACCTCTCTTGTTTAAAGTAGTTAAAAGTAGTACTTTGCTCACTAGTGGTACAAATAATTATTCTATACAACACCCACAAATGATATTTTTTCTATTTGATCCCAACAAACCAAATATTCGAACGAAACTGCCCACAGTTATTATCCTTTTAGACAAATGAATTCGAAATGAATGAACTTTTATACCATTTGATGTCAAACGTAAATTCTTCTTTATTTTATAATTCCATAAAAATCAAATGTACATAACAATGGATTTATTAAGTCGTTGTTTATGAGGCTGATCCTATAGCAATATACATTTGTATAATATATATGGAGCTTCACACTCACAGTCACATCTTACCTAAGCAGGATCAGGTGTTTCTGGTTACAGGAAAACATAAATTATTAGAAAAAATACATATTGAAAATATTTATTTCAGGAATTATTGATGTGAGTCTTCAGCATGTCAATGTGTTTAACTGAAATGTAATAATGCCTTACTTCCTAAAATATTTAAAGTAACTTTCAAGTTCCAATTTATCATTAAAAAGAACCAAAAATAAATATTTAAAGTTAGTTTAATTTACAATGATTTTTTTAAAGATTCATCTTCTGGAGATTTTACTTACGTATACTGAAAAACTATTACCCTTATTAAATAATTATCTTCATACCATCTAACAAATAATTCCTGGTAATTTTCAAATAAATTTTATTTGTGTTAAGTTTTCAAGTTATTTTAAAGAGTATTATCTGCTACCACATATTTACTGAAATGCTGGTAAGACATATAAATACATTTTTTTTGTGTCATAATACATCAAAATATTGTTGAATGTTGAATGTTTTATTTTTGTATTCAATGTTAACATATATTGTGAATATAGTTTGTGCAAAGAACAATGAACATGTAAATGCAACAAGTTTATTGAACAAAAAAGATTCACACATATTCAGTGCATCACCACACAGCAAGACAGATGTTGAGTTGGTTTGGGTATCGTGCAGAATGAGGTCTTAAGTGGCTAAATGTGAGTCTACACATGGTCTATGTTGTTAATACGTGGACAAAGTGAAATAATTTAAAAACCATTACCCATGCAATATAAGAGTAGGATGAATCTTGGGACTGAAACTACATTTTTCGTATAAGTCATAAGTAGTTTTGGTTCTTAAGGATTTTTTATGAAAACTTATAAAGTAAAAAGTCTATGTAGTAACATTGATAGCGAATGAAAATGTCCAACAGTGAAAACATGTGGAGAAAATAGGGTCCCGTCATATAGATATAGGAAAATTTTAATTTTTTGTTGGAAATCCCTCATGATAGAGAAAAAGGACATTGCGAAAGGCTGTTTCCTCAAGCTTGCATGTGGGATGTAGCAGAGTAAACAAGCTTAAAATTAGTGATACATGATATTTAAGTTTAGTACAGTAATAGTAAACTGCAGAATAGCAGCTTTTGATGTTTTGGGCTTGAGAGTTGTACTAAAATGTTCTGTATTGCAATCTGAGAGTATCGGTTATTTATGTCAAAAGCTAGAGTGTCGTAATGATTTTAGTGAAGCATATGCTATTTTAAACGTAGTGTACGAATCACTAGCTTGAATGGTATAGTGTATGTATGATACAGTAATTTGTAGAAGTGTATACTGTAGTAAGCTTGAGTGTAAATACATTTTTTTTTGTGTAAATACATGTATGATACCATATACCTGAGTCTAAACATCGATCTCTATTACTACAACTTATTGTAGACTTTGGAATGGGGATCAGAAACCATTTAAAACGGCTATGACTAAAAAAATGGTAAGACCTAGCAAAGAATTGGAAAAGATTTCACGGTCAGAAATGTAATGTTCTACCACACGCTCTTAGGCGTTTCCCCAAAATCATACCACTTCAACCCCAAACGTCCTACTTCTAAAATTTTAAAAAATTATTGAATTTTCAACGCCTTTTTAAATAATTTAAACTAATTTTCGGACATACATTTGTATTTTTAATGCTCTTATCACTGAAGGAAAACTCCCAAAAAGTGATATTAAAAACATTTCATCCCCTCAATAAATTTTAAAATGGTGGATTTTAGAAATATTCAAAATGTTTTAAATGGGCACTGCTTGTGCAATGACCTACTGTAACTCATTCACATACGTGCTACATACTTGACATCTTGTAGGATGGTGTACTAATTAATACCCTAAATATTTAAGAAATTTGCATTATCAAATATTTACCCACCCCCTTCTAACAAAGGAATACCTAAAACAATACTATACTAAACCCCCCTACACAAAATTGAACTCCTCAATATTTCTCTATAAAACTTTTCAGGTGCATTGCAATACATTATTATAGCCAGTCATAAAACTTGACATGTAGCAGGATTAATTTCCCAAAGTTCAAACATTAACATCTTTAAATCTTAATGTTATTTTGATTTGTCTTGGCTTCCTGACGCTTCTAGGTCTTGACCATTCATTTCCCCCCCCAACCAGAAGTTTCAAATTCCCCTCTATGTTATTTTTAAGGGTAATAAGCTCAAAAGTGGCTTACTGTGCTATGCTGACTGAACCGTTTAGAAACGTGCTAGAGACTTGAATTTTTCCAAGGATGTAGTAAGTAATCTAATAAGCTATCGTTGTATTAATAGAGACCGATGGAGTCCAAACTATTTCTCCACAGAGTATGACATTGAAAGTTGGGGTTTCTTTGAGTTGTTACTGAAAGTGTATGTAATAGTCTTACGTATAATCTTGAGTCGTAATTGCATAACTTTTAGTGCGGCAGTGTATGAAATTTCAATCTTGAGTGTAGTAGTATATAATGTAGTGAGCTTGAGTGTAGCAGTGTATGATATAGTAAACCTGAGTATATAGTATTTCCTCGTAGTGTATCATATTTGTGCTGTTGGTTACAAGCGTGATGTGGTGCGTGTTACCTAGGTCTAGTGTAGTGCAGGTGGCGAGAGCCCAGAGTGTAGCAGTGTATGATATAGTAAACCTGAGTATATAGTATTTCCTCATAGTGTATGAGATTTGTGCTGTTGGTTACAAGCGTGATGTGGTGCGTGTTACCTAGGTCTAGTGTAGTGCAGGTGGCGAGAGCCCAGAGTGTAGCAGTGTATGATATAGTAAACCTGAGTATATAGTATTTCCTCATAGTGTATGAGATTTGTGCTGTTGGTTACAAGCGTGTGTGGTGCGTGTTACCTAGGTCTAGTGTAGTGCAGGTGGCGAGAGCCCAGAGTGTAGCAGTGTTTGATATAGTAAACCTGAGTATATAGTTTTTCCTCATAGTGTATGAGATTTGTGCTGTTGGTTACAAGCGTGATGTGGTGCGTGTTACCTAGGTCTAGTGTAGTGCAGGTGGCGAGAGCCCAGAGTGTAGCAGTGTATGATATAGTAAACCTGAGTATATAGTATTTCCTCATAGTGTATGAGATTTGTGCTGTTGGTTACAAGCGTGATGTGGTGCGTGTTACCTAGGTCTAGTGTAGTGCAGGTGGCGAGAGCCCAGAGTGTAGCAGTGTATGATATATTAAACCTGAGTATATAGTATTTCCTCATAGTGTATGAGATTTGTGCTGTTGGTTACAAGCGTGATGTGGTGCGTGTTACCTAGGTCTAGTGTAGTGCAGGTGGCGAGAGCCCAGAGTGTAGCAGTGTATGATATAGTAAACCTGAGTATATAGTATTTCCTCATAGTGTATGAGATTTGTGCTGTTGGTTACAAGCGTGATGTAGTGCGTGTTACCTAGGTCTAGTGTAGTGCAGGTGGCGAGAGCCCAGAGTGTAGCAGTGTATGATATAGTAAACCTGAGTATATAGTATTTCCTCATAGTGTATGAGATTTGTGCTGTTGGTTACAAGCGTGATGTGGTGCGTGTTACCTAGGTCTAGTGTAGTGCAGGTGGCGAGAGCCCAGAGTGTAGCAGTGTTTGATATAGTAAACCTGAGTATATAGTTTTTCCTCATAGTGTATGAGATTTGTGCTGTTGGTTACAAGCGTGATGTGGTGCGTGTTACCTAGGTCTAGTGTAGTGCAGGTGGCGAGAGCCCAGAGTGTAGCAGTGTATGATATAGTAAACCTGAGTATATAGTATTTCCTCATAGTGTATGAGATTTGTGCTGTTGGTTACAAGCGTGATGTGTTGCGTGTTACCTAGGTCTAGTGTAGTGCAGGTGGCGAGAGCCCAGAGTGTAGCAGTGTATGATATAGTAAAGCTGAGTATATAGTTTTTCCTCATAGTGTATGAGATTTGTGCTGTTGGTTACAAGCGTGATGTGGTGCGTGTTACCTAGGTCTAGTGTAGTGCAGGTGGCGAGAGCCCAGAGTGTAGCAGTGTATGATATAGTAAAGCTGAGTATATAGTATTTCCTCATAGTGTATGAGATTTGTGCTGTCGGTTACAAGCGTGATGTGGTGCGTGTTACCTAGGTCTAGTGTAGTGCAGGTGGCGAGAGCCCAGAGTGTAGCAGTGTTTGATATAGTAAACCTGAGTATATAGTTTTTCCTCATAGTGTATGAGATTTGTGCTGTTGGTTACAAGCGTGATGTGGTGCGTGTTACCTAGGTCTAGTGTAGTGCAGGGGGCGAGAGCCCAGAGTGTAGCAGTGTATGATATAGTAAAGCTGAGTATATAGTTTTTCCTCATAGTGTATGAGATTTGTGCTGTTGGTTACAAGCGTGATGTGGTGCGTGTTACCTAGGTCTAGTGTAGTGCAGGTGGCGAGAGCCCAGAGTGTAGCAGTGTATGATATAGTAAACCTGAGTATATAGTATTTCCTTGCAGTGTATGAGATTTGTGCTGTTGGTTACAAGCGTGATGTGGTGCGTGTTACCTAGGTCTAGTGTAGTGCAGGTGGCGAGAGCCCAGAGTGTAGCAGTGTTTGATATAGTAAACCTGAGTATATAGTATTTCCTCATAGTGTATGAGATTTGTGCTGTTGGTTACAAGCGTGATGTGGTGCGTGTTACCTAGGTCTAGTGTAGTGCAGGTGGCGAGAGCCCAGAGTGTAGCAGTGTATGATATAGTAAAGCTTAGTATATAGTATTTCCTCATAGTGTATGAGATTTGTGCTGTTGGTTACAAGCGTGATGTGGTGCGTGTTACCTAGGTCTAGTGTAGTGCAGGTGGCGAGAGCCCAGAGTGTAGCAGTGTATGATATAGTAAAGCTGAGTATATAGTATTTCCTCATAGTGTATGAGATTTGTGCTGTTGGTTACAAGCGTGATGTGGTGCGTGTTACCTAGGTCTAGTGTAGTGCAGGGGGCGAGAGCCCAGAGTGTAGCAGTGTATGATATAGTAAAGCTGAGTATATAGTATTTCCTCATAGTGTATGAGATTTGTGCTGTTGGTTACAAGCGTGATGTGGTGCGTGTTACCTAGGTCTAGTGTAGTGCAGGTGGCGAGAGCCCAGAGTGTAGCAGTGTATGATATAGTAAACCTAAGTATATAGTATTTCCTCATAGTGTATGAGATTTGTGCTGTTGGTTACAAGCGTGATGTGGTGCGTGTTACCTAGGTCTAGTGTAGTGCAGGTGGCGAGAGCCCAGAGTGTAGCAGTGTATGATATAGTAAACCTGAGTATATAGTATTTCCTCATAGTGTATGAGATTTGTGCTGTTGGTTACAAGCGTGATGTGGTGCGTGTTACCTAGGTCTAGTGTAGTGCAGGTGGCGAGAGCCCAGAGTGTAGCAGTGTATGATATAGTAAAGCTGAGTATATAGTATTTCCTCATAGTGTATGAGATTTGTGCTGTTGGTTACAAGCGTGATGTGGTGCGTGTTACCTAGGTCTAGTGTAGTGCAGGTGGCGAGAGCCCAGAGTGTAGCAGTGTATGATATAGTAAACCTGAGTATATAGTATTTCCTCATAGTGTATGAGATTTGTGCTGTTGGTTACAAGCGTGATGTGGTGCGTGTTACCTAGGTCTAGTGTAGTGCAGGTGGCGAGAGCCCAGAGTGTAACCCCGCTTCACCTGAACTCCTCGACACATCGGGTGAAACGCTTGTTTCCTGTAACCAGAACACCCTGTATGTCACCGGCCCATGTCCCTTACCTATCGTCCTCCCTGTGGAGGCGTCGATGGTCCTGGGCGGCTGGGGACTCTGCCCTCTTGGCTGCCACTCCACGACACACAGGGTGGTAGACGAATCTCCTGGAATAACATAGTAGCAGACTTCTGTAAACTGACTCCCTCGATAGCAAGAACACGCTATTTTTTAAGACGTTATTTGCCGCTTTGAACCTTGTATTGCCCGACAAAGGCTTCGTGGCTTTGCGAGAAACGTATGCAGCAAAGATGAACTGGTTCAGTACAAAAGTGAAACGTACTGATATTTGGATCAGTATGCGAACTTACGACATCACTACAATGTCTTTAAATTGAAAACAAAACAAATGAAACATTAGAATACTTTTAACATATTTTTCCTTGTCAATTCTGCTCTGATATGACGTATTATTTGTTAAATACCTGTCTTGCTATCGAGGTAAGGTGCACTTGAGATAGAATTGGAAAGTCTTGCTTTTGAAAACCAAACCAAAACTTGTAATATATTATGTAGCAGGTAACGAATTTATTGCCACATACGAATTATTTATACAAAACTTATGTTTGCCTACCTTGATCTAATAGTAAGTACTTTTGTGATCCCTTGATATTGAGGTAGATATACTTTGTTGAGGTAGATGTTAAAAGTTCTTCTTATGAAAAGGTATACAAAAGTTGTTATGTATCCTATTCAGTGCAAGATTTATGACTTGATCGACCATAGGACTTGCCATACTGCATTAGTACTAAACTGTATTTTGATCATCGTACAAGCCAGTATAAACATTCCTGAGTAGTAGGCTGAAGTTTTAGGAAACATAAATAATAATTCTTCATAGTACGACAAATCACAATTTGGCAGCTACCACATTCAGCTGCATATAATATTTTAACGCACATCACAGAACTAGTTCTGCTGAACGTCACAGAATTAGTTAAAAACAACACATTCATTACAATCTCATCTTGGAGTGATAATCAAAGTTTTCAGAAAGTTTTGTTTTAAATAAGTTATATTTATGTGCCTGTTAAATTATATTACAGTTTTTAGCAGATCATTAGAATTGTGTGTATTAATTCGTAAATATCAAAATATAAAAATTATGAAAAAAGAATATCTTTAAATAAAATGAGGGAAGTTCAAATAGTTTTTAGAGGTCTAAATAAATTTGTAAAATATTAATGAATATTGCTTAAAATATTACTTGATACTCTTGAAGGTTTTGTAAGAAGCCTTTTGTCAAATCAACATGATATTCTCTTTGGATTTATGACTTTGATTGGACAGGAATTATCTACAGTGATGTTGTGTTATCAATGAATACAATTTATAGTGGTTTGTATTCATTGGTGTTATCAACAGGTAACATGATTTATCATTTACGTATCTTGCGAAACGTCAATCTGTTTTGTACTTAAGGTTCTGTTTGATTTTATACTGACAAAACTATCCACGGTGTTGCATAAGTATAGAAAATTCATTACCGGTATATTTTCGGTCCGTAGAAAACAATTAATTTACGTGGTGACTTATAAATTTTAAATTGTTTTATCCTTCTATAAGTAAATTTTAAAAGTATATTCCTCCATTTTGTAAATTATACAAATATCGTTCATAAAACGAAGGTTTATTTTGAGTTTAACCAAAAATTGCACATGATCCTAAAATATACTTCACACAAAGGCTTTAGGAGCTATTTCCGAGTATAAAATAAACACAAATACTGTAAATATGATTGGCAATACTATCCATTGGTGTACAGTTATTTATAGAGCTACGTTTCTTAGGTTGTCAAAAATGTACAAGTTTAAAAAATTATTGCTGTTTAAATTAATTGTATACATTGGGATAATAGAAATTCGACACAAATTTGCAAGTAATATAAATGCATATATTAAATAAAGTAATATAAATATTATATAACTAAACAATGAACGTCAAAATAATGAAAACTGATTGGAATAAAATAAGATACATTGAAAAGTATAGAGGAATATGTAAAACCTAAAAAATAAAATTACTGTTGATCGATGACTACCATAAGAAATCATATATTTTCAAAATTGACAAATCCCTTGCAGTAACTAAATAATATTTGTAACACGTATTTGCGTTTTAAGTTTAGACTTAGCTAGAAAGTTATTCAGCCATAATCAATATGGCAAACAATCGTCAAAACAAGCTCATACACCAGTCTATATCTTATTCAGAATTTTATTCCAGAATATGTATTTTGTCTAGTGAATAAAAAAGAGAAAAAATAAACACAAAATAAAACCTAAAAGTTACTTTAAAAAAACATTTTACATGTTCTGAATCAATGTAATTTATTTATAAATGTTTGATGTTTGACAGGGGAAGATAAGCTGGGCTCAGTATAAGCCTTTTACTGCCTTCAAATTGCTAAACAAGGGATCTTCTACGACATTGATACTGACAAAACCTCAACGTTTCCAACGATTTAAAGATATTAAAAATATCTTTATTTTATTTAAAATTGTATATTGATTGTGCCCTAGTTGATTGAATTCTACTTAGGTAATTAAATACCCCCGTCACAGCAAACCTGCCGACTAAGCGAATTTCCATTTACCTGGCTGGATTTATACTAAAATATTCTCAGAAAATTGTCAGATTTATTTCTTATTTAAATAACTTTAATTTTAATGAGCACCTAGGTTTGCTCCTTCAGGGAAGTATTGAGGTGTGTTTTTATTGAAATGTTGATAGCTTAGTATGAAATAAACAATACCCCCGCCGCAGCAGACCTGCAGACTTAGCGAATTTCCATTTGCCTGATTGGATTTAAACTAAAATGTCTCCTTAAAAATATCACATTTATTCCCAATTTAAACAGAATTAGTTTAATGAGTACTTAGGTTTGCTGCAACAGGGGGGGGGGGTAAAAAGTTTTTTTTATGTAAAATATTAAAAGGTACTGTGGTTTAGTAATAAATTAATGAATTTTCCAAATTTGATCAAAATATGTTCACAAACAAGCAAACAACAACAGTTGACTTATTCTTCATAAGAATAACATGGGAATTTTAAAATTACAATTTTTTGGAATTTTCTCCGTAACAATTAAGCGCATAATAGCGCTTCAATATACTAAATTATTTGTTTTTTAAGCTCTACAAAATGGTTTAAAAAGAAATTGTGAAATTTTGTGTTTTTAGGGTCAAAAATGGGAAAAACCTATTTTTACCCCATAAAACCCCCCATAAACCCCCGTTCCCATAGTCCGATCATGCTGGTTCGCGAACTCATTCAAGTTAATCCCGCCTTACACCTTCAAACCAAATTTGATCAAAATCGGACAAAAATTACTCAAGTTATCGTGCGGATGGACACACACATATATATATATATATATATATCTATATATAGATATATAAAAATTTGAACGAATGGTGTTTTTGGCCTCTGGGGACATCAAAATGAAAAAGTAAATCGGTCCCGGGCTTAGGTCTTACCATGAGACCTACGGTAATAGCTACTTCCCTATAGGGAAATTCGCTAAAATTGCCAAATTTGATTAAAATATATCCATAAACAGGCAAACTACAACAGTTTATTTATTCTCCTCAAGAATAACATGGGAATTTTAAATTTAAAGTTTTATTTAACTATCTCTGCAACCGTTAGGCATACAACAACGCTTCATTATACACAATTATTTTTTTTAAGCTCTACAAAATGGTCTGGAAAGAAATTGTGAAATTTCATGTTTTTAGAGTAAAAAATGGAAAAAACCCCAATTGTTATCCCATAAAACCCCCCATAAACCCCCGTTCTTATAGTCCGACCATGCTGGTTCACAAACTCGTTTTAATAAACGTAGGATTTCACATTTATACAAAATTTCATCGAAATCGGATCATTTTTGCTCGAGTTATCGCGCTAACAGACACATGAATTTGAACGGATGGTGATTTTGACCTCTGGGGACCTCAAAACCAAAAAGTAAATCAGGCCCGGGTCCAGGTGTTACGATAGGTACTACGGTAATAGCTTTTTCCCTATATGGAAAATTAGCTAAAAGGTAATTCGTGACCATTATGAGCTTCCTGAATGATCTTTTTGCTTTTAATTTTATGTTGATCGAACCTCTTTAAGCCTCACACTTTGATTTGTTTGATCTTTTAAGGCTTATATTTAATTTTTTGACATTTTTAGCGAAATAAACAACCGAATTAGTGTAGCAAAGATTATTTTTTATTAAAAATAAAAATGATCGGAATTATTTAAAAGTCATTAATTTATTTTATTATTTTCATTTATTTGCTTTAACAATATTTTCGAAGAATGTAATATTAAACTCACATTATTTTACTCTTTTGATTGAATTTATATTTGCTCACAACAAGATAACGTGAAAAGTAAAAGTCACTAGTGAAATATTGTTTGATAGATTATAAAGAATTATGTACTACAGATGGCTCCAATTGCAGGGTGATAACATTTTTAGACCAATAATTATAAACGAACAAATACAATATATTATTTTTTAAGGATTATTATGCAATTAGCTTTAGCTTAGTTTAATTCATTTAGGCATTCTTTCATGAAAAATTGTAGAGATCATAGTTATAACTTATATTTTAATTATTAAATTTTATATCATAGTTTCGTAATGAATTATAAGTAATAATTAGTTTAAATGAATTATCAATAAATTAAACATTGTATTTTAAAACATTATCTACTATCTATTATAGTACTACGTACTACGGCAAGGCTAAAGCTGCGATATTCAGTACAAGCCATGTTTAGAGTAGCCATTGGGTGTTGGTGATGTTTTAAGTTTTTGTAGTTTTTGGGAGCGAAGCTTCGTTGTTTTAAAACTTACTGACAAAGACAGGTTATTGATTCAAACACCACAATCACTCTTTGATTCTCATCCTCAGATACAGACAAGCTGAAAACCCAAACATTAATCAGATAATATAACACACGATGTTTATTCAAAATAATGTTCTTTCAACATTTATTTTTCATTTTACCCTCTCAGTTGGGGCCACATTGAAAAAATCTGTTGACTAAGTCCAAATTTAAAAGGGTTTTTAAACTTATAATTAGTAGCCTATTTGCAATGAGATGTTTAAAAAATACATTTATTGTATAATAAAATTAGTTAGAGCACTAACAAACTGAAAAACATAAAACCAACTTAATTTGACACCAGATGATGATGTAACTATCAATTATTAGCTTAGGTATGTATTTAATCAAGGTACCACACGCCTAAAATAGCATAAGACCATAAATATTGTGTCCTGTAACGGTCAATCAATTATGCAGTTTGGCGTGTTTCCTACCTGAACACAACGGCGTTTGTTCAAGTTTTAAAGTAACTTAGATAAAAAAATGCAAGAGTGAAAAAATTAAGAAACATCCATGAAACTTTGCTTAGAAAAACTTCAGTAATAAGGAAACATGTTTGCAGTTTTCATAGTTAGGAAAATGAGGCAACTCTTCTAAACATGTGTGCACACAAGTGGAATAATACATGCATTTAAAAAATGTTGACGAAGTGAAGCACAAATTAACTGCCTATTGTAATTACGTTGTTATACATTTTTTACATAAGTTAAAATATTTACTAATTTATTAAATTAAGTAGCTTTACAACTTGGGTTTTAGTTCATCGAAATACCCTAATTAGATCTTAAGCTCTCCTTAATCACGTCGGAACCATTGCAGGCCTTGGATTTAAATTAATTTGACTTCATTCAGATAAAAAATAACAATAATTAATATTAATTTAAAATTTGTTAATAATAAAGTAACTACTAAAATTCATCAACAATTAACATTCAAGGTAAACACCCCAAGGAGTAAAGGACCTTTCAAACGATTTAAAAGCAGCTTTGGTAGTAGTACTATTTATTGGGTTATTTTTATGAGTCATGGCAGTATTATATGATTTTACTGATTTATTTTTACCGATACTTAACCAAGGGTAGAAAATTGTACTACCTTAAATAAGTAAAATCTTTCTTCACTGTGCTCCTGTTAAACCTTTTTGATAACAAACCGTTTAAACTGTATCAAAAATATTGCAATTGTCTGCAGATTGTATGTTATTAACATTCGTGCAATCAGGTAAAGACGTTTGAAATATTTTGAAGCATATAAATTGTATGTACAGTATCATGGTGCTGTACTACTGTACATATATATACAGGGTGTTCAAAATAGGTGGGGACATATTTTACCTCGTGATTCATTGGGCCAAAAAAAAGATAAAATCAAGAATGACATTTTTTTCAAAATCACTTCGTTAACCAGATATCCGCCATTTTGTATTTTATACATAAACATTTTTATCTTTTAATATTTTCAACCGATCCTTATGAAACTTTGTATGTATGTTAAGGTAAACGAGACCCATGTCAAAAAAAGTTCATATCGATTCAACTTAAAACTTTAAAATGGCGGCCATTTTAATTTGTTTAACTTAAATTACTCAAAAACGGCTAATGTTATGAAAAACTGTCAAGAACACTTTTATTTAGCCTTTTTAATTCCCTATCAAACGATACCAAGTTTAAAAATATCAAATAAGAAATAGCTGAAATATTACGATTTGTAGTTGTAAAATGGGGCAAACCTGACTAGCTTCTGCCTTATTCTACACCATTTTACAAAAAAATCGTAATATTTAAGCTATTTCTTATTCGATCTTTTTGAACTTGGTATCGTTTGATAGGGAATTAAAAAATCTAAATAAAAGTGTTCTAGACAGTTTTTCATAACATTAGCCGTTTTTGAGTAATTTAAGTTAAACAAATTCAAATGGCCACTATTTTGAAATTTTAAGTCGAATCACGATTAATTAACTTTCTGACATTGGTCTTTTCTACCTTAACCTACATACCAAGTTTTATAAAGATCGGTTTGAACAAATTCAAAAATAAAAATGTTTATGTAAAAAATAAAAAATGACGGATATCTGGTTAACGAAGCGATTTTGGAAAAAAATTTTTCTTGATTTTCTCTTTATTTTGACCCAAGGAATCACTAGGTAAAATATGTCCCCACCTTTTTTGAACACCCGGTATATATAAAAAAATTAAATTTGCTACGGTTTAATAAGTTTTTTTCAGTTCGGCTTAGGTTCAGCTTAAGGGTTTTTACAGTTAATAATATTTTACATCAACGCACAACGTGACCCAAATCAACCACATTAAAAAAATTCTAAACTAGCTAGAACTTCTACATTGCAATTAAATGTCCATTTCAACCCAAGTCAAAGATATCATGTCATTCACTACAGTGTATCCTTATTACTACATGTCCTGTAGTTTATTACTCTATGCGTATTACTCCATGTCCCGTTGTTTGTTACTCTATGTGTACCTGCAGTTGACGCCAGCTGGGCCCGGAGCAACGTCACAACTCAGCAACAGCAAGGCTCCCATGACTCCGAGACATAGTAACGACCACGGGCTCCTCATGGTTCTGCAACAGACAATTACGTCACCAGCAGTAGGTCTAGTGTCGGTGACATCAACACACTTGCTATATGGCGTAGGAAAATCTAAGTGAACGGAAAGTATTTATCTGCAATATCCGAGTTAAAGGTTGCAGAATAATTTAGTTCGACAAACTAGAGCTAGCTAGTGGCAGCCTTTAATAAATAAACGACGTTTTTAAAAATGTATTACAGTTTGGAAATGTAACGAAAAAAAGATATAGTATACACAATATTGTATTCTTATTATTTGCAATAAATTAAATTAGAACCTTGATAACCATGGTATCAAAATGTTCAAAAAGTTGTACAAATAAAACAAAAATTAAAATTGGACAACATTTTTTTACTTGGACTCAGAAAATATGTTAAACTTTAAACGCGATTTTACGAAAAGTAAATCATTTAAAAACAATATTCTTAACTTTGACGACTTCGTCAAATATTAGTATGGCACTTTTCAGCAAGAAAAAAAAAAACTGCAAGAAAATGTGAATAACTCAAAATATGTATGATGTATCATAAGGTCCCTTTTCCCAGAACACATCACTTGTATTATAGGAAATATATGAATGTGAATGGATGGTGTTTTGGGCCTCTGGGGACATCAAAACGAAAAAGTAAATCGGTCACGGGTCCAGGTCTTACCACGAGACCTACGGTAATAGCTTATTCCCTAGTCTATATGGGAAATTCGCTAAAAGATTACTTAAGAATAGCTATTAAAAAAAAAAAAAAACTACCCCGATTGCATTTAATAAATAAAATGGGGTTTTGTCCGATATTTAGTGCAATATACAGTTTCGAAACAATACCACGAATTGCAAAGAATGTTACAACAATCAATATTCCTTTTAATAATGAAGCTGGTGAAGATATCTTGTGGTTTTAGGTCTTTGCTTAGAAAAACTAACAACAATTTCAATATATTTGAAAATCTTTACTCTTTTTACGGCGTAGCTTTGCAGATAAACTAACTATATAAGGCAAGCATGAAAGTAGAACAAACTTTTTAATTGATTTTACAAGTTACTCAATACTAAGAAACTCTTATTAATTCGAGTATTATTTATCGTGACAGTAGTTTACAATTAGTAGTAAAATAAAAAAATTTCATACAAACTCATGTTCAAGTATTATATTGATCTCATATTATATTATGGTATTGGTTCATTGCAAAATACAATTAAATATTAAATATTCATATTTTATCTATTTTTGTGGTTAGCATTTTTTTAACCTTTGTTCCAACCCTACCGAAAAATATGTACAAGAGAGTAAATTAAAACATCAAGACCTCTAGGGAAATGTCTGCAACAATAGAATTAGTGGTTTAGCAATTATGTCTGCACAAAAGGTAATTTAATAAAAACACAGTTTTATTTCTTTCTAAAACCTTATAACCAAGGGAAACAGGTCCGAAAGTTTTGGTAATAAGAGTATGGGTTGTTTTCAATATCATGGTTCAAAACCAAGAACTACTCATATAGGCTAGTAAATTATTTTTATTTATTGAAAATTTGATTCAGGGTAGAATATCTGTATTTAGGGCCATATTAATATACAATCGTGATCAGCTTAACATGTGGGAAGGTGCAGGTGCACCACAACTTCAACATTGAATACCGAAGGGCTGCCAACCTAAATAGTAAATATTTTGTTATTTATTCCATAATGCCGAGCTCATTCTTATTCAATTATTTGAATCATGTTGTATGATGCAGGTGATATGTTTATATCGTTGGGTTCAACACTTAAAAGGCGTCAAAACAAATTGTTGAAATTTAAATGCTATTTTAAATTATAACACAATTACCATTATTTTCTTAGTATTGAATGGTATTATTTGAATGGTATTATTGGTAGTATTTGAATGGTTCTTAGTATTGAAAAGTAAACTCTCTTCTTTCTGTATCACTTTTACTATCCGGCCAATTATAGAAGCTAATAGATATGGTATATTGCCACAATTTTCATTCCGCTTCCTGGTAAGCTTCAAAACATCGCCAAGCTCAACTTAATATTTTTCATATTAATAGTACAATCAGTTACTGGTTACACTTAAATAATCACACAGTCAAAACGTTCTCAAGCTAAATGTTTAAGACATCGTGTCATAAAAAGGGACAGTGACAACAAGTGTTGTTAAATAAATGTAAGTTAGAGAAGCTTTACCCGGATAGAAACTAAACTTGTGAAGTAATATTTGAAATAACTTTCAAATATTACTTTACCTAGTTTCAAATGATGCTTCGTTACATAGGGATACATCACACGTCCAACAACGAGATAATTATGATTTATTTCATTCTTGTCTACATATTTTTTAATATCATAGACCCACGTTTGACGAAGTCGTTACAAAATGATAAAACAGGGGTAATTTCATAAACAGTTTCAATTTTATATTTAAGACCTAATACTAAATCAATCCAACTACCATGTACAGCAGTTAAATAGCTTATCTGAGCCATATCCTATCCCGAAAAAAAACATTGGAATGACGTAGAACAAGACCAACCGCCAATGTAGCAAAACTCAGGACTAAACAAATTTCCATTTGACTGTTTGGATTTTCACTAAAATGGTCAGATTTTTTTCTAATTAAATAAAACTAATTTTATTGAGTACATATAGGTCTGTTGCCACAGGGAACACGAGCTCAAGTTTGTTAGTGTGTTTTTATTGACATGTTATTATCTTAGTACAAAATAAGTAAAATTACCAAATTTTATGAGAATATATCCCTATACAAGCAAACTAAAATAGTATATTTATTCTCCATAAGAATAAAGATTGAATTTTAAATTTAAAGTTGTTAACACGTACTCCTTATTCTAATTATCAGGCGTGCAACAATGCTTCAATTAGCTAAACTAATTCTTTTTAATGAGGCCAAAAAATGGGAAAACTATATTTTTACCCCATAAACCCCTTTTCCATGGTGTGTTCATGGTGGTTCACGAACTAATTTGGTTTACTACATGTATGTTTAAACGTTTGTATCGAATTTCACCAAATTCGAATGACTTTTACTCAAGTTATCATGCTAATGGACACATGGTAATATGAGACCTCGGTAATAGCTTATTCCCTCTATGGGAAATTCACTAGTTTGTAAACTACAAACATTTAAGTATTGTACAGTGTTATACTCTTGAGATATTACCTTGATACTAACATTAACTCCTTAGTAATACATCGAAAATCCTGAGCTTAAGTAAAGTATTAAAGAACACTAAGGCGTTTCCAGTTGTTGCCCTAGGGCCTTCCTGCAGATGATTTGTTCTGATTGAATTTTCGATCTCATAAATACGGAATACATGGTTATCTTTCATGCTTGGCCTGTTATTTGGGTTTTGTTTGTTCTTGAATTGAACATAATATAAGCTACAATTGTAAAAAATAGACACAATGTTATTGTTAGGCATATTGACAAAAGTTTTTGGACAAACATTTCGTAAGTTAAGCTTATAACAAAGAAAACACTGTTTTGACAGTTGAATTATTACACAAGTACGATATTAAACAAATAATTAACTTAAAAATCAATAAACCATTATAAATGCGCAGAAAATATTTCAGAAAGCATAGTTAACTGCAAACTTAACAATATAATCTGTGATTAAAGAGAGAATAAAATATTCCTAGGATGCAACAATAAAACAATCATATATGACCAAGGAAAAAATCTTATATAATAAAATGGTTCAATCTAACAATAATAAATAATAATAATAAAATAGTATTAACGTAATTGGATACCTTTCAATGTGCCCATTACGGTGTAAAGCTTTTGCTTTTGCAAATGACATATATTTATTATACCTATTCATATGTAATCACCAAAACTAAGTTTGCGAGTAAAGAAATTATTTAAATTACAATAGTTCACTTAATTTTTATGGAGATGAGAAATCGACAGAATAAAGTATAAACTTGCTATGCGCAAAAAATATAGTTTTCATGTCTTTCAAATTCTATGATTGATTAACATTAAACTCCCTTGTTTAATAACGCAATCTTCTAGCTTTCTTAAGCAAATCCCATCCAATATTAAAAGGAATACTCAAGTCCCGAATCTCCTGAGATGCATGAGTTGGGCTCATTTCTTGTTCATTATTCTTCGTTGTTTGTTTTCAGTATTTACTCATCGGTATTTGAATTGTCATTCCAGCGAAATGAAAGATACATTCCAGAAAGTTTGGGGGTTTTGTCTAGTGTTCTGTTTGTTTATCCTACGAATTATTATTGGTTAACTAACCTTTTATAAAACATATTGCCTGCACACAGTGTGAATCAATTTACCTGTGCAACATTGTTAAAAAGTCGCTTAGTTATTTAAATTAAAATAATTTTTTTAGTATGTTAAATGATAAAATTATGATCATTGTCATCATTATTATTATCATAATTTAAAATGGGGGCACTAATAATAACGGGTAATAATAATTCTATGTCTCATTATTATTTCTAGAAAGTATTAAGTTATATCATAGACTAACCAACACAAGCTTTATCTGTTGTTCTTGTTCAGAAATCAGAAATGATTTATTCATGATTTATAACAAGTATAAATACAGAATGGCACCAATATCTTAATATATCTAGAAATAGTTATAACAAAAGTTCATCGAAAGAGTAGTATGATAGTAAAATAAATACACCTTCAATTTAGTTTTTAAGGTCTTGACAGTATTTATTGCTAAAAAGTCTTTTGGCGGAGGGTAAAAGAACCTAGCCCCTGCAGATGTGTTTTTTTTATTATAAAACTCTAGATTATATCTCTGGATGGCTGGTAGTTACGATGTCTAGTACAGTATTATATGCGGCTCTCAATACTGAATTTGGAATTGTTTTCTTATTCATTTAAGTCTTTAGAGTCATTGTAGTTTTAAAAAAGTATAATCCATACACTGTGAAGATACTTCTTCTTCTCAGCAAAATGCAGTTTTCCCGATTGGTTGTTATCTAAATTTAACATAAT